ATGTAGGTTAAACACTTTAAGTCGAAGTTCTGAGTGCAAGACAAAGTGCAAATATCTGTGCTTGCTTGATGCATGAAAACCTTTAGAATACATGACTCAGGATGGAAATATGTAGGTGATAATCGTACAAAGCAATCTCTCACCACAACTTACGAAATGTTTCTAGAAATGAATAAATAAAAATTGAATTGTGTGCGTCAAGATACAATTCAAGGTGCCGCAATGATTAACGATCGGGGGTGAAACCATGGTGGAAGATACACCAAAGCTCTGTACCGATTGCATAACAAAACACTTTTCAGACTAAGGGTTGTTATGATAATAATTATAATAATGATCGTGATGATGATAATGATGATAATAATGATGTTAATAAAGATAATAATGTTAATGATGATAATAATAATAATAATAATGATAATAACAGTAATAATAATAATAATAATAATAATAATAATAATGATGATAATAATAATAATAATGATAATAATGATAATAATAATAATAACAATAATGATGATGATGATGATGATGATGATAATAATAATAATAACAATACCAATAAGGACAATTAATTATAATAACGACAATAATAATGATGACGGTAATAATAATACCAAAGAAGTCTGCAGATTCTAAGAAGTAACATCATGTCTACTTTTAGTCATAATTCGAAACATTCAAGAGTTTAGGAATCTTTTTAGCCTCTTAAATTCGAAATATAAGAAGAAACTAAACTTTGTTGAAGTCAGTATTAACATTAAGGACTTAGTATCAACATTAATGACTTTTCATTGAGCTAAAGAATGCTAGGAATTTTTACTTCAATCCAGCGTGTCTCCAACGAGCAAGTTCAGAGGCCAGGGATTAAGTTTTTGCTGGTAGAAGGACATCCGCGTTGGGGAGATGTTCGAGTTATTTGTTTGATTCATTCTTCCTTTTAAAAATTGCATTTTGTCTTGTATAATTTGTTAGCGATATGGAGAAAAAAGGGGTATAGGAAGAGAGTAAATGTGGTGCTGGAGATAGCGATAGCAGTGCTGCTTTTGGTAGCTTTGGTGATCATGGTGCCGAGGGTGCCGATGCTGAGAAAAGTAATGGTAAAAGTAATGATAATAAGAGAGAAAACAGATATAAGGATACGAAGCCAGAGTCCAGAGGAGACGCACCGAGAGACCAAAGCCTCGACGTCGGCGAAGGAAACGAGGCCGAGGGCGGCGCTACTCACCGATGGTGGTGATGAGGATGATGGAGTAGAAGAGGGCGCCGGCGAAGGTCCACTGCTGCGTGTTGAGGTCCTCGGAGCCGTCCCAGCCGTCGTTCTTGATGGCGCTGATGAGGGAGCGCTCGAACAGCTTGAGCCGCTCCCGCACCGACGCCGCCCACATGCTCTCGTTCAGGACCTTCATGTCGTCCGTGATGACCCACAGGTCGTCCGTCACCTGCGGGAGGAGGGGGGGCGGGGTCAGGCGTGCGTCGGGAGTCGAGGGGGGCTTCGGGACGCTAATAATCAAGATTACTGTTATCATCTATAACGGCATTATTTTACCGTTAGTCCTATAGTTGCTTCTCTGCTGTGGTTGATGTTGACGCTGTTATCAGGGCGATTATCACCTTCGCTTAGAAGGTTATTGTTGCCATCAACAATAGCATTGCTGAATATAATTGTTATGATTACCATTGCTCTTCTTGTTAATAGAACTAGTACTTCTGATTACTACTTTACTGGTTATCATTACTTATCCATTCCATTTTAACCTTATCATCCCGGACATTCACAATCATGATAATTGACATGGTTACTGTAAAGGGTCATTTTCTACAAACTGTGTATGAAAAGCAACGAAGAGGAGGACAAGAAAACACCAGTTTGCCGAAGGCTTTTTCTGTATATTACTTCAGGCGCTGGAGGAGAAGTAAAGCCAAAAGGCCATCGCCAGGTTCGTGTCCCTAGTCCTCCCTTCGTTGCTGTTGTAAGATGAAGCAATATCATGACCGCTGCTAATCCTTATTACGATCCCTATGAAAGCTTTTTCTGTCACTATTGTCATTGACAGAACATCATTAGCAAACACAACTGCACTTGCACAATCACTGCTGCTTACCTTGAGTCTCACGGACGACATGTTCTTCTTGATTTGGAGTTCATGCTCGGCCTCGAGTCTCTCGAAGGTGAAGGCTCCCACGATGGTGTAGCCTATGACCAGCGAGACGAGGCCTATGTGGCTGATGAGGAATTTGATTATATTCTTGAGGTAGTAACCACAGCTATCACATTGCCCGCCTTCCTCGCGCATCTTGTTGCGAATTTGTTTTTCTGGCGCGTCAGAGGCGATCTGAATTCGTTTCTGCCAATGCTTCTCCTTTTTCCTTTCTTCTTTTTATCACTTTTTTCGTCTTTCACCCAACTGTATTTACGAAAGAAGTTTTCATTATGTTGTGAAATTGTTTTCTTCAGTTCTCTACGTCCACTTCATGTTTTCTAGGAAGCATCACTTTA